TAAGTTAAAAAAAATATGTATATATATATATATTATATATGTATGTACATGCGTACATGCATACATGCGTGCATACGTGCGCGCGTGCGTGTGTAATACAGACAATTTTTGAGAATTAAATAAAATTAATTATTCCACCTACAAATTGAGAAGTACTCCAATGTCTGCTGCCAGCTTGTTGTAGGCAATTTTTGTATCTCCAGAAAGACTGTATTGGCTTCTGTAATTTATTAATGCCATTTTAACAGTTTGCCAATCCCATGCTTTTGTCAAACATCGTGCGTGAACAAGGCGCAATAGCATCAAAAGATGTCCAATAAATTTCTGTAAAACATTTTTCTGCGCACTAACACTATTACACAAAGTAGATTGTCCATCACTCACATGTAAATTACATGTCTCTTTAAATGTATTTATAGTATTTTTGTAAAGCGTCGTTTCTAATTTCATTCTTATATCGACATACTTGCTATTCATGTTCAATAATCGGTTATTATTATAGAAAATTAGTAATAATTCAAGCGCTTGATTTCTACGAAAATATCGAATACTGCTATCAAAAGCAAAATCCACCTAAACAATCAAATGATGTTCTATAAAGTAAGATATATTTTAAATGAGATATTAGAAAATATTAATAGTTATTTTAAATACATACCAACAGAAGCGCCAGCTGCCAATTATCTTCCCAACACAATTGTAATACACCCTTAAACAACATATGCGAAAGCACACAGTCTCTCTGCTTAAAGAATGCAGTTAAATTTTTACCATAAATTTTTACAATACTTTCAGTAGACAAGTTAGCTTGTTGTGCACATCTTACAAGGAAGGTGCAGCATTCCGCTAATTTATCATTGAGTTCTTGACAGACTGAAGCAGAACGCTCTCCTTTTTCAATCAAAGCCTTAAAAAGATATATTATATATCATTTAAACGGCAAATATGATACAAACTTAATCGTTACAAATAATTACCTTTAACACTGTCGTTAACAAAGTCTCATCAACATTCGTTGTATCTTTAAACTTTTTTACCGTTGATAACTTTTTTAAGCAAGCCCGAATTCTATATGCGAGTGGTTCTTGATGCGGATCTTTTATACAAAATTCTAGCAGAGCGAAAAGTGGCACGATCATATCTAAAGTAACCGCCATAGACGGGCTAGTTTCTAGATAAATCTGTAACAAATCTATAACGCGAGCTCTGAAATGCATCAATGCCTGACTCGTTTTTCCTTGCTTTCTAGAGCGAGCCTGCTGATTCTCTCGAAAAGCTTTAAAAGCTGCTGCTAACGATTTATCCAATCGTTTGCCCTCTTCTTCGTCTATTTCATCTACGTCAATATCTTCGTCATCGGTTTTCATTGCAGCATCTCCCAAAGCTTGATGTAACGCTATCCTCAATTTATCGGTCATGGTTTCATCCTCATCATCGACCTCATTCTCACTTGAATCAGACTCAGATTCACTTTTCGATAAAACTTCATCATTTGAAACATTTTCCTCCTCTTCATCTTCCTCATTATCTGATTCGCTTTCTATACCAGAGGAATCGTCATCGTCATTTTGCTTTGTAATGAGCGTCTTTCGAGTATTTTTAATATCTAATACCTGAAATAAAGTATAACATGTGTATACTTACAATTTTTTCAAACATTCCATACTTTTCAATTATATACAGAAACAGATTAATCTTATAAAAATTGTATAAACAAAAGCTTACGGCCAATATCTGATGGACTGCAGATGGAGTTAGATATGGACAGATATGTGGAAACACACAGCCAACTAATGAACGGAATAAATGGTCGTTCTTGGATAAAAGAGATAACAAAAGATCCACTACTACTTCAACCCATTCCGGTTCTTCTTCAGTAACTGTGTTATTGAGCTTTTTATATTTTTTGGATTTTTTACTTAATCTCTCATAACAACATTGAAGTTCATTAATCGACATAATCGCCATTTCAGAATCTGTGAACAATTGTAGACCCATGTGCAAATTCATCGTATGAAATATCGGTAAGGCTTCCGAATGTTTTGTATTTTTCTCTAGTTTTTCAATCAAGTCTATTACTCTTTTCCAAGCATCGGCTGCGTCGTTTAATGGCGATCGTAATCTGATTATATTGGATTGCAATTTTGAATCTAAATTATGAACAAGTGCACTTAACAGATTTCGTGCATTATCCAATTTTGGTAATTTATAATCCAGAGCACGATAAAAGGAATCTTTAAATTGTTCTGAAAATAATAATTAAATTTATTTCAGCTCATAACAATTTAAAAGATACATGTATTGGGTTGTCCGGAAAGTTCGTGCCGACTAACCTATATATAATTTAATATAATTTAATAAATGTACACTAAAATTTAAATTTTCTGCGTTTCAATTTTCCTTCAACATCGGCACGAACTTTCCGGATAACCCAGTATAAATGTAGCTTATACTTACGTGCTAATTCTATTCCAACATCTGACACCTCACACAATCCATAATTAAACAGGAATATCAGTTGCTCAAGTCTCCAGTCCTGATCCAAGAATGTCTCTGGACGACCCATTAATCTAATGGAAAGAAATATATTTAGTGCAATAAGAAATATTTTAACCTCTATTCATTATATTAAATCAATTATATTCACTTTGTTAGTAGCTGTGCTGTGTAACTTCGCTCGGCATTTGTCCAAAATTCCGTCTTTGTACCCTCTCTTTCTTTAGTCATCTTATTTTCTGTAATTTCTCTATATAATTGGCTCAACTTCTTAATACCGTCTATCCTCAAGTTTCCCATAATTATTTGAATCACCTTAACACCTGTCTTCTTTTCTATCATTAAGTCACCAGGATGCAATATTAACTTCTTCAATATACTCAGTTGTGTTTTTGTCTTGATATCTGTATCATTTGTGGCAGACACTATCAAATGTAAAACTTTCCTGAATGCCTTCAATACTTCATCATTTCTATTCTTCTTACAAATCGAAAATCTTTTTAACATGTGTTGCAGAAGATTTGGAGACAATAACGAAGGAATTACGGTTTTATCTGTAATATTAAGAAGTATTAGTCGTAACATTTCTACAGCAATGTATTCATCACTCTTTGACGGTTTTATAAATTTCTGATCGATGCCTTTCCAAAAGTCTGCCACAAATTCGCTTGCTACCAGTTTTTCACAAAATAGTTTAAACACTGGATGTTGATAAGAGACAATTCGAAGTAAAGCCTAAAAAATAAAAAAAAAATTAAAGTCTATTTTAACACGAATATTTATTGGAATAGAAATACACAGGAAGATATTCAAGTCTTGATAAATACAAACCGTTAATAGTCGAACAATATCTTCTATAGATTCCTTGGTAATTATCTCAGTCATATCTAAGTGTTGCTTTAAAAATTTATGATTAACTAACGAAGGATGTTTGTCCCTAAGAATCAGCAGCATATAGAATGTATCCAAAGTTTGTTCAGACCATGGCTTGCCAATTTCCTTCTCAACAATTGGCCAAACATTCTTGATAGATTCAATATCAAGCTGAATAATAAACTCGCTGAAAAACATAGTGGAAATAAATGATAAATAACTACGTTTCTTGCCAGCATTTAACAGAATCTCCATAATCTGTTGTTGCATCTCAACACTGTTCCGAGCAAGTAACTTGGACCTAATCAAAGCACCACAGAGCAATATACGTCCCATATATATGTCGGCATTCTCCTACAAACAGAAATTTCAGTATTTCTTTAAATATTATTCCTAAAACAAAATAAAACAAAATAAAAACAAGATTTTAAGTCTTACGCTTTTAAGATTACTGCCAGCTGGACGTAATTGAGTATTCATTATGGATAAAAATTTTTCCATTGAAGTATCAGGATGCGTCATCAGAAAAACTGTCAAGGTACTGTAGAAGCCTGTTCTGGTGGATGTTAATGAAGATCCCAATCTGGCAACCATCTTGACCAAGGCAAGATCCAACTCTTTGTCATTTTGATCCTACAAAGATAGATCATATATTACAACGTAACAATTTATCAAGTATTTCATACAAATCAGATCTTTCTTCTTAATGTATATAATTTAATATCCATTTCTATCAATGCGATTCAACTTTAATTTCAGTTTAACTAACTTTTTATCTTTTTCTAAGAATTATAACTTTTTCTATGAATTAAAACTTCAAAGCGTTGCATGGTTCTTCGCTCGGCTGGCGGATTTATATCAGGTCCGGATTTGAGTCCATCCTCATATATGTAGCTTTGGCATTGTGCTTCTGGAGCTACATTCCACTTAACACTCGCAACGATCGCGAACATCATTTATCATCATTCCTTGTTTAACATTTGACAAATGACAAGAATGAAATGATTCCAGGAACATTGTGAGTATTAAGTGGAAGGCAGCCTGGTTGTTAATGTAATTTACCGTATTATGTTGATGTATATAATTCAGTAGCGCAACTCCACCATTTAATCTCACGGATGGATTGTTGTCCTTCAACTGGTTAAAATTATCCAATATATTGGAATAAGTTCTACCCATCTTTGGCTGTCCAGACATATCCGAAATCATCTCTGCCATGTGCGTGTCGCGCGGTACGTGCATGGTAGCGGACATCTTGATCTTTCTAATTGTTTTCGACAGGGTTACCGTGGGTTAAAAAAAAATCCAGCAAATCCCTGCCTATAAATTCACCAAATGTTGTTTTTGTTCATTTGAGAGAGTTCACAATTCATCTTGCTTCACATGAGAGTGGACATCTCGGTCTTTTTTGTGTACCAAAGCTCATAAGATAATGTTCATGCTTTGTCCTTTTCCATACTGTATAAATTAGACAAAAACGAATAATAATCTCTTCTTTCTGCTTGTATCATTGATTTGACGAATGTAATAACATATGATCAAAATTGATGCTTGATATTTATCAATTAATTTCTATAGGTGCATTTTCACGAGCTGCTCAAACTGACCGTTTCAGCGACAAAATAGATGACGTGCGACTTTTGTCGCAAAACTATTAAGGGCTCCGCACAATAAAAGGAACAATAAAGGGAACACGGAGAGAATAAAAATTTCAACCTATCAGAAATCATGTATTGTGGAATACACAGTTCCTGATAGATTGAAATTCTTATTCTCTGTTCTCTGTTTCTTGTTCCTTTTATTGTGTAGAGTCCCTAAGAATTTCAACCTATCAGAAATTGTATTCCTGTGTATTCCACAATACATGATTTCTGATAAGTTGAAATTCTTATTCTTTGTTCTCTGTTCTCTGTTCTTTTATTGTGCGGAGCCCATTAGAGCGACAATTTTATATATGAAAAAGAGCAAGAAGCGTTAAATTTAACATTTGAGCGACAGATTCGACATGTTATTCATATTTTTCATGTGTCATTTGCAATATTAATACACTGAATTAAACAGTTATTAAATTATTCTTATTGCATCGAATCCTCTATCTGGATTAGCAATAAAAAAAAGAATAAATTAGATTATGTATATCGCAGTCAACAGTCAACACGATCGCTGCAGTAGCTACGTTCAGCAGAACGTTTATTTTGCAATTGTTGGAAGTTTTCTCGTGCTGATTGGGTTATGCATTTAGATCAAGAGGAATGGTCCAATCTCAGCAGAGAATCATAAAATAGTTGCAAAAACGGTTGTTATGTTCTGCTGAACGCCATTATTGCCCGGTTTATGCTTCGGTTTTAATCCTAAAATCTTAAAATTCAGCCAATGAAATACAGATTTCAATTAGGACCAATTAAGCTGGCAGCCCTATTGGCTGAATTTTAGAATTTTAGAGTTAAGATCGAAGCATAAACCAAGCATTTGTCAGCACTATCAATAGCGTTTGAGCATTTGATGCTGTAGTTGAAATTGTTCAAACTACAATATTTCAACTACTCGATAACGAGCGATTTGTCGCTCCAATCGCTTATATTTTAGCGGCACTAAATGTACTTTTATTATCACGTGACTTATTTTGACGCCGAATACGAGCGTAAAAAGGTACTTTAAGGGAATCAACTAATCGAAATTCTTCTTTTTCATGGAATGGGAGGAAAGGAAAGATTCTGATTCGCTTATGTATTAAGATATCTTTTTATACTGCTCATTTTCGCATAATAAGATCTATTCGCATAATAAGATAATAAGAAGAGACTTGAAAATCACTTGATCAAAATTGACCCTTGATATTCGTAAATTTCTATCGCATGACTTATTTTGATACTAAAAATGAGTGTCGAGCATCATCATAAAAAGGCATCTTTATGCAAGAATCTTTGCTATGGCCTTAACACCTATTAAATTCCGATTAATTCAATCAGTTGTTAATTTAATTGGCAGATGTTGAAAGCAAAATTTCCAAGTTTTATATTATTTCTCAAATTATTTTTCTAATTATTTCTTATATGTTATTCACTGAAAAATGAATAAATTCTTTCCAAAAACGACTGAATGGTCATCAACCAATCATGTTGTCTAGTCTCGTGGAAGCCGTGCCATGTCGAACGCGCGATTGGTCGATTTGATGTGTGCGAATGAACTCTCGAGTTTGGTCGTGAAGTACTCTCCATATCGCGTGTCATTACACACCCGAGTCATCCTTTTATTCGAATAAATTCACCCGGCGAGCGAAGTGACGCGCGTACGTCCAAGATATCACATTGATAAATTGTCGAGTGTTAAGGCGCGATGGTGCCGCGCGCACGGTGACTGAATCGACTCACGCGGTCCCGGTCAGTTCCGTGCATTCAATATGGCAGGTCGAGGTGGTTACGACGATTCAAGGCAAGTATCGGCCGTGTTTGCGGTCGTGTCACGCCACCGGGAGGGTCACGGGTGACCGTGACCTCGGGACGCACGTACCGCGGATCGAACCATCCGGGACGCGTGCGTCCCTCGCGCGTATATCTCCCGGTTTTAAGGTTAAGTGAGTTACGGGAGTGCAAGCGCAACACCTTGCGAGGCGCCGCGACACGCGGCTTTATTTTGGCCGGTCGGGCCCACCCGTACCCGCGGATCTCGGAACCTCGACGACGCGGCGCGACGCGACGAAGCGGAGCCATCCTCGGGGAACGATGCACGTGCGGTGCACGCCGTGAGAGGAAGCGAGAGAAGGAGAGATGGTGATAGACAAAGAGGGAAGGAGGATCGCGACAGCAAAGCGCGATCGTGCGATGTGCAGCGGCGTCGCGTTTCTTAGTGAAGTGTCCGAGTGTCGATATAAACTCCGTTTTCCGTCGCCGTCGCGTTTCGATTTATTATGCCTTATCAATCTGTCTCTTTGATATACAATGTTCTCCTCACTTCACACATACATAATATGCGTGAGCGCGCGCGCGCACGCTCGCGTGTCTAGATGGATATTGGCGAGCTTTCTTACTTGGAAAATGCATTCGGCTGAAATATGTAAATAATTAAAAGAAACAGAACAAATTTTTTGATGTATTTTATATAATAGTTTTGTCTTATTGTTGCACTGGATTATATTAGAACTTAACTTTTGTCAAATGTCAAACATACCTGTGTACCTACTTCACTTTAAGTATAAGTCCATTCAGTTATAAAACATATGATTAGCATTTGAATATATCTGCGATTTTAGAGAGCAGTCGAATGCAGTTGATACAGATTTATTTTAATGTACGTTTATAATAATATTTGACTTTATTGGGAGAGAAAAGTCTTTTCTTCAGAGAATTTATATAACTAACATAGCTAATAACATATGAATGAAAAAGAAATATTTATACAACTACCTTGCAATTGGACATAATGATTTATAAACGTATGTACATTTAGTATTTCAAAATAACAAACAATAGTAATAAAATGTGTTCAATAGAGAAAGCAATTTTTTAATTGTAAAATTCTTTAATACTATTAGTTTAAATATGTTTAAATCTAATAAGAAATAAATGGTAATACTAATCATATTAAAGAATTTTACAAATCTGCTTTCTCTAGCTCTAATAATTTAATGTATTTTATATTTGTGAATAAGTAGCTGTCAAGATATTTTTTTTTATTCAGAGATTATCCAACTCATCGAAGTAGAAAACCTTTACCAACTGAACCACCATATACTGCGTATGTGGGAAATTTGCCGAATGGAATTGTACAAGGTGACGTTGACAAAATCTTTGAGAAGCTTAATGTCAAAGTCATCAGATTGGTTAAAGACAGGGACACCGACAAGTATGTATTAATTGGATTGGAGAGGCAAACCTGTATATATTGATTGAAATTAAAAAAAATTTTTTTGTATTTGTACAGATTTAAGGGCTTCTGCTATGTCGAGTTTGAGGACTTGGCTGATCTGGAGGCAGCATTGGAAATGGACGGAGCGGTAGAAGTAGACAAGTGTTTGATCAAGATCGATGTAGCAGAAGGAAAAAGAAATGACCGTGGTGGTGGCTTTGATAGGAGAGGTCGTGGGGGCAGCAGCAGTGGAAGTGGATTCAAAGGACGAGATTCCGGCCGTAGTGGATACGGCGACGATTTTGATAGTAAATCCTCATATTCAAGTAAACACTATATGCTTTTATATTTGATAATAATAGAAATGCAATGTAAATTTTGTATTTGTATATTAACAACTACTAATGCTTATAATGCTGAACTAATTTTCTCTCTATCATAAATGTTTAATTTGCTGCAAATATCGGCGACGATAAAGTTTCTTAACGTTTATTCATAGGATACAGTGATAGAGGCCCACATGGAGGTAGTAGGCAAGGTAACGATAGATGGGATTCTAGAAGTAATAGAGGCAATTACGGCCAATTCAACGATGACACAGGTGGAAATCGTGATTGGTCGCGAAGTACGTCTAGTAGGTCGTACACTAATAAACCTCCACTTCGAGGAAGTGGTTCAGACCGAAAACCCTTCCCAGATGACCCTTATCACAAAGATGCTCCTCCTCCAGGTATGTATACAACTTGGCACGAGATACTACTGTATCTCGATATAAGTATACATATATAACTCA